TACTGCTTTAATCTTTGGGATCGGATTAGCAAATGGATGTAAATGATTATTTATATTATTATCAACAAGAAGTGTTGATGGCAATCTAGTAAGAAGGGAGAAAAAGTGATTGAGAGGACATAAGGAAGTACCAAAATTTTATACGCTTTGTGCTACCTCCACCCCTTTCAAAGTTTTTCAATCTTCTAGGTTTTTAGCCATTCAGTCCGGAAGTTTTAATTTGCAACTGCATTGCTTTGAGAACTGAATTTGAAGAAGGGGTCCATTTTACTGCATTGTTGGTGAAACTTTTGTTCATGTGAACAGTATTGAAATGAAATGTGAAAGTAATGAAGTTCATAAAATTCCTCTAGTGCTATTTTTAATGCTGTTCTTACAGAAAGTACGCGTTGAAGCAAATGGACAGAGCTGGCGCCGTGCTAACCACCTCTGAATGTGTGCTGCTTGGGCTGGTTCAAGATGCTTCTCATCCAAAATTCAAGGACATTCAGAAATTAATAATTGAGCTGGCTCCGGATACTGGTTTGCTTTCGAAAATGTAGGTAAGAGATTGTGCAAATTATAGGGAAGTGATTGATGGCCTAGCAGTAGTCATTGTATCGCAATAGTCGTCTCGGTGTTGTGCAGTATAACTGATGAATCCACGAGTATTTTGATTTTTTTTTCATTCAAAAATGGACAAATAAACATTTGATAGACATGAAATCGCAGTAATATTGCAATATTGCAAAAGATAAAAGAGAAGAGCAGAACTATGCAAAATACCCAAGGAAAATAGCATGATTGCGTTTCAAATAAACATCATATGAAAACGCACTCAAAAACACAGACACACACACATACACAATGAAAAATGTTGTTCTAGAAATGTACAACGAGAAAAAAACCCGTGAAGAGTACATATGTGTACCTCGAAACGCTTGATAAAGAGGAGCGTTGCAGTGAGGTGCAAAATATAGTAAGCGGCTCGCTAAGCTTTATAGAATTATGAATCTAAAGCTCCTACAGAGCACCTGAGAAGCAGCCGTGATGGCCTGTGGAGGTGTGGATGGTCTTGGGACACGGTGGGACATTTAGGAATTCAGAGAACATGGAAGTTTGGATTAAGTTTAGGCAGGGGTTTGTAGAGGTTTTGGACGTATAAATGCGTTAAGGGCAGTGATTTGCAAGTCCCATATATCCACAGGCCAACTTTTAAGTGAGTAAACAAGCTATATACAGTACATAGTGGGATACATGATGTATCGGACTAGAGCTATATAATTTTGTGGACGCAGTTATTTCGTCCCAAAATTTTGCTTCATCTAAAAGAAGGCAAGACGACGGTCAGCCAAACGATTATGTGGCTTGATGCTACCGTAGTATCTCAGCAAGAAGTTGCGAACCTGCAATAAAGTCATATTAAGGTTTTATTGTAGGTCGCTCATAATTGCTGCTTCTGATTCACCTGTCTTCTGCTGAATTGTCCACCAGAATGACAAGTAGGGCAAAGGAATGGTGGTGGGAATTGCATTTTTATGAATTGTGGATCTTCGGTAGGATCGCCGTGTAGACGATTGTTCACGATGTTGTGTGCTCTCCACAGATATGTCATCATATCGTGAGGATGCCGAATCTATCAAAGAAATTATTTAATGAGGATTTTGCATACTAAATTACTATTAAACTCACTCTACGTTCAGTCATTGGGAATATGTTGGTGGTCATGTTCATGAAATGTTTTCTGCAATGTTTGCAGCCGAAGAATCCTTTGACCCATCCCTAAATTATAGGACTCATATTGCCAATAGTAACACCTTCGATTAAATTTAAATTAAACTATTCATTGGTCAAAATGAGTTACCATGTTCACCAACCTGAATACTCTTAAGTGGTTTCAAAGGATTCATATTAGAGTCTTTGATTGTATCAATGTATGAGTGTACAGTCAGCGCGTGGAAGGTTGTCCATAGTCCACAGGTATAACCCCTGGAAAATATAGATACGCGATGCTAACACAACAATCAAGATAAATGCAAAAAAAGGTGAAGGGTGTAAGCCGAAACGTGAAGAGGCGACCCCGCCAAGGCCAGCTAACCTTGATCTTTTGCAGTGAAAAGCGCAGGATGTTAGGGCTTAGAATGATTTTTTTGCATACATTCCACGCCCAGATTAATCAAATAATCTACTCGTTAGAGCATTAAAGGTAGAAAGGCAACTTGTGCTGCAGCCATTGTGGCACAATGAGATGATTTCAGTGCTATTTTCGTTCTATACACAAGTTATTAGCTATAAAAACTCTACCTCTC